ACTAGAAGGCAGAAGGGGACAGGAAAGCTGGTGATAGGGAACCCAAGGTTGAGTAAGGATAGCGTTGATGTGTTGTGAGACTGTTAACCATTGTCATAGGGCAACATGTGCACTAACTGTTTAATGAGAAACTATTTTGTTCTGTAAACCTTCATCTAAAGTGAGAATAGCAGCACAACTGGAAGAACGTAGTCGATGTCACTGAATTGTGCATGTAGAAATTTTTGAAACAGTGTATCTTTGGCTATGTATATTTTCACCAAAAAAAAAAAAGGGTCGAGAAGGTAGAGTGTTGACATGTCGTGGGGTTGCTAACCAATGTCATAAAACAATATGTGTACTACTGTTTCATGAGAAACCATTTGTTCTGTAAGCGTTCACCTGAAGTACAATTAAAAAAAAAAAATCCTCAAGACCCAGTAACACGGCACCAAAATTATCTGCTTCTACCATTTATCTTTCATTCTCCACTCTACTCCTACATGCTCAGAGGAATTTTATTTTACACTTTAAGGCTGGGCATAAAGCATTAACTCACAGATGAACCCAGAACCTAAAAAGCCCTTTTCTGGGGTAACCAGATTTGAAACATCAGAAAAGTCTTGTTCACCAACCATTCACATATACATACATATACATACATACATATTTTCTCCCTCCACTCTCATCTTGTGAGAAATTTTTATACAAAAAAATTTAGCCTCCCATTATTCCCATCCCAAGTCTCATTAATCAACAGTAAGTATAACTTAATATGGAATAATTCATGTTGTTGTTCCTCTTATTTAGGAAAAAGAGAAGAAATTGCAAAACTCCTAAAGACTTATTAAAGTGATAGGTGAGCACATTTGTTTCATTATTTTTCAGTAAATACAAGTTGGGTTGACAATAATATTCCTAATTTTCAATAAAATGATATCTCTAATAATCTCAAACATCTATTTAATTAATTGATTAACTAAAAAATCGCACCTGAACAGGGTAACTCAATCCTTATCCTTACGAAGCATATAGTCTAATGTAGGGCTACAAATAAGGTATGTAATTTTACAATAGTAATAATTTAGAGTGGTAAATGTTAGGTACAGGCTACGTAAGTAGCATATAGAAGGAAGCTTTTGGTGACATCTAAGCTATGACCTAAAACAGGTTAGCAAACTATAGTTCATGGGCCGAATCTATTCTGATACTTGTTTTTTGGTATGGCCTGTAAGTTAAGAACGATCCTTACATTTTTAAATGGTTGAAAGTTAAAAAAAAAAAAAAAATTTGTGACAGATGAACACTGTATGAGATTCAAATTTCAGTGCCCATTAATAAAGTTTTATTGGAGTACAGCCATGCTCATGCTTTTAGGTGTTGTGTATGGCTGGTTTTGTGCTACAACTGCAGGTTGTAGCTGCAACAGAGATTGTACACACTTCAAAACCTAAAATACTTACTATCTGACCCTTTACAGGAAAAGTTTGCCGACCCCTGACCTAAAGGATGAGAAGGAGTTATTCAGATGGGGAGCTATCTATATCTTATAGAACCCTTATCAGTTTAAAAGAACTTTTCAAAAACCCTTATCAGTTTAAAAGAACTTTTCAAGTGAGCAAAGGCTATCAAATCTTTACAATTCAACCATATGTTTATGATGTGTGACCAGCAATAAGCTCTTCACTGAAATGTTACAGATTTATCAAAGAGGTTATTAGTCTAACCTAAGTTGTAACACACACAAAGGCTGGAAACTATTCTTAGTAAAATATATTTTTCCCTAGAAATCGATGTGTTACTGTATTTTTATGCAAATAATGCATGCCTTCTACATTTGTTTGCCAACTGCACCTTCCCCCCGTGAGGTATTTTCATAAGTGCACTACGCTAATTTTTTTTTTACAGAAACATGTAAAAATATATTAGCATAGCGGCACTTTTGAAAATACCTCGTGGAGGGAGGGCACAGTTGGCAAACATGTAGAAGGTGTGTGTTATTTGTATAAAGATACAGCACTTGTTTCAAATATTAGTTGCTAACATATATAAATAGATATACGCATGTATAAACAAGTATATAAGTATATCCCCCACACACACACAAATGAAGAGTTACAATAATGAATTTAAGAGACACCAAATCAATTATATATTTAGTTCCCTAAAACCGAGATTAACAACTATTTGGAGTGGTGGTTGCACAACATGATTAATGTAATTGACATCACTAAACTGTACACTTGAAAAATGCTGAATTGGCAAATGCTGTGTTATATATATTTTTACCATTAAAATAAAAAAAAGTATGTAAAAAAAAAAAAAGACCAGATTAAAAGGCTTCTGTGACTGTCTGCACCATGGTTCTTCTCCATCAGCATAAGCAATCAGAAATGGAGGGTAGTACGGTAGAGCATGGCTCTGAGGCGAACGAGATACATGAGGTCAGGTAACTCTTTTGGGCCTGAGTTTCCCATCTATAAATGAAGGGAGGCTGAACCAGATGATCCCTAAGGTCCATTCCAGCTCTAAATTCTATGTAGATCAAAAGCTGTTAAAAACAGTACAGAGCCCATAAAAATATGAAAATCAGAATATTACGTCTTGTCAAAAGCTATAATGCTAATAGAGTTGAATGAATATACAAACCCAACGATGAATGGAAAAATGACCACCAAAGCACCGCCCCAAAAGGTTCACTAATTCTTTGCACAATACCTGATCACTGGATAAATTCCATACTCCACTGATTTTATCATATACATGTTCTTGTGGTAATAATCTTAGTTGCTTGTTTTGAATTAGTGCACTTCTCAACTTAAAATCACGATACATTTTAGATGTTTCATATGCTCTATGAAAAAGAATGAACAAAAGGTCACTCCAAACTGAAAATGTGGTTTTTGTAGGTTATGTTTACTTAACTATTAAAATATAGGTTGTTAGTATTTATGTATAGCACACAAATAATTACTATGGTAAATTAAAAAAATTTTCCTTTCAACGGATTCTGGTGATTAGAGCTTTTTGTAGATTTTTATTATTTGTCATTTTGTTATGTCTCAGTTATCTATCTTTTTAGATTTTATCTCTGTAATCTATTTTTTTAGATCTCAAATTTTTAAGGCAATATGTATCATACAGCACAAATGATAGGAAATAGACTTCTTGCTAAACAAAAAACAATGACTGCACGTACCAAAAACCAAACCCGTTGCCGTCAAGTCAATTTCAACTCACTGCAACCCTACGGGACAGAGTAGAACTGCCCCATAGAGTTTCTAAGGAGCGGCTGGTAGATTCGAACTGCTGATCTTTTGGTTAGTAGCTGTAGCTCTTAACTACTGTGCCACCAGGGCTCTGACTGCACGTAATAGACATGGAAATTGGGTTTTCTTTCCTCTATCAAAATGCTTCTCTTTTTTTTTTTTTTTTAAACCTGTTTTAGGTAAAGTTACCATTATTCTTTTGACAAAAACAGTCCAATTACTTTTCTCACTGCAACCTGAAAATACTAGGCTCACATTTATCTCTATATAGAAAATTAGAATGAATCTGTACCAACTCCAAAAGGGAACCTGTGAGTGTGTATGTGTGACAGTGTGTGTGGGTGTATGTGTGTGTCTGTGTGAGAGACAGTTGTGTGTAAAATCTCCATGACTTTGTTTTCTTTCTGTTTCTCTTTTGGTAAAGATTTAAAAAAAAAAAAAAATTCTGCTTAACTTTTGATTAGTTAATTCTAATTGCACTCCAAGGAGCTCTGGTGGCACAATAGTTAAGTGCTGGGTTACTAACAGAAAAGTTGGTGGTTTGAACCTACCTAGCGGTTCTGCGACAAAAAGACCTGGCAATGCACTCCCATAAAGATTACAGCCTAGAAAATCCTATGGGCAGTTCTACCCTGTCACATGATCACTGAGTCGCGAATTGACTTGACGGCACCCAACAACAATAATAATTTTACTCTATATAAAAACAGGCTAAGTTATGCATTTAGTAAGAGTGATAAAAGGGTTTTCTTGGCTTTAATAATTTTATAATTAATCTATATAAATTGTAATATTCATTGTTAAACTCTAGTTTTTACTTTAATTAACCTAATATGTCAGCTGAGAAAGAGCAGGATTTGAGCATTCTGCCTATACATCTCAATTTGGTTTAGTGCTGCTGTCACCTATACTTAAACCTGTGGAAAAAAATAGAAACTATACTGTAAATTAGTTAGGGGAGAATACTTATAACATTTTCATACTACTAAACGAAAGCAGCTTTCATGCTCCCTTCATGTTCCATTTAAAACTTTTCATAGAACGTCTCAAAGTAAAGTGAAATAAAGAGCTGAGGTATAGGTAGGTATATGCCCAAGAGAACTGAAAACATATGTTCACATAAAAATGTGCACATGAATGTTAATAACAGCATTATTCATAATAGCCAAAAAGTGGAAAAAACCCCAACGCCCATCAACTGATGAATGGACAAACAAAATTTGGTATATCCATACAATGGAATATTACCCAGTCACAAACAGAAATTAAGTACTGACACATGCTGCAACATGGATGAACCTCGAAAACATTAGGCCAAGTGAAAGAAGCCAAACACAAAAGGCCACATATTGTATGATTCCATTTATATGAAATGTCCACAGTAGGCAAATACATAGAGACAGAAAGTAAATGAGTGGTTGTCAGGGGCTGTGGGAGGGGAGAGTGGGTAGTGACTGCTAAACCAGTATGGGGTTTCTTTTGGAGTGCTGAAGTGTTCTGGAATTAGATCATGGTGATGGCTGCACAACTTTGTGAATATACTAAAAGCCACCAAATTATATATTTTTATTTTTGGCCTGTCATTTTAACCAAGCTTGTTTTAAAAAATTATAGTACTTAGGGCTGATAAATAAAAAAAAGAGAGAGAGCTAAGGTAGTGAAAATAAAAGAATTTAGCAAACAAAAACAAAACAAGAAAATTCTTTAGGAAAACCCCCCAAACAAGCTTTCTACTACTAGAAAAATAACCTTTTTATTTAATGAATTATCTACAGTGAATAAATTCTCCATTTCACTTTACCTACCCTGACAGCTAATTTAATAAACTCTTCAGTGGAAATTTTTATGATTCTTCAGTAGTCTCATGGGTTTTATAAATACTTTCAAAGCGTTTATCAAATGATAATGAAATGTGTTCTAAAGCAGTCTTCAGGATATTTTACAATAGAGCTTGCAGGAAGATAGTATCGCATTTCTAAATTTTATCTTGTAAACATTTATATAATAGAACTGTTTTAAAAATATTCAATAATCCATAAAGTATTACTATACCTGTGTACTGCAATCACAGAAGTAAAAAGTCTAGGACTTCCAGGAACCACATTTGTAAAGATAAATTCAAAACGAGTACTGTTACATTTTGTTAGTATATAAAGAGCCTCAGTTTGGCCTCGTAATTTCTGTAAGGACAAATTTATTCACAAGTTCAGATTTTAAGATCAACTCCTCACTTACAGTGAAAACATGAATGTTAACCTTAAAATATCCACTGTTTCTTTACTATACATATATATATTTTTTCAGACTTACAGAGTTAGCAGTCCTTGTTGTTATATTCAATATGCAGTTGTAACCAACAGCTAAAATTCAAAAGCAAAGAATTTAAAGAACACGATACAGTAAATCGAGAAAAAGCAGTTTTCTGAAAATCATATACAGAATTTTTAACTTTTAAAAACTAAAGATAAAGACAACTTTTTAAAAAGCTTATGAAATAATTGTAAATTTAAGTTAAATAATTAAAAGAACGAGAGTCAATTCCATCTCCATGAACAAACAAAAACATTCAGAATATGTGAAATAAGAAGTTTGCTTCTCTAAAACCTAAACAGCATTATTTACTGAAAATTTAACACCACTATATCAAAAGAAAAGGTCTAGCTGGATAATCTAAAATACTTCAAAAAAAAAAAAAAAAAAAGAAACATCATTTAACACAATAAATTTTATTAGAATTTAGATCTCCCTTCTTTGGGGTAGTCCCCGACTTATGACATATTCGAGTTATGACCAACCGTATTTTTTTGTACATCTTATCCTTAGTAATATGTACTACCTACAATCTTGCAGCGTGTAATTTGCTCATATTATCATTCTCAGATGTTCACTTGCAGATGTTCAATTTTTTGCTTTACTGTTCAAAACACTGAACACCGATAGAAAACTGGGCAATGTTCAACTGTAATGACACACAATTGAACTGTGCATGCACCCGACAGCTGTTAGGACTCCAACTTCATTGTTATGACACTGACGCCGACTTCGTTATAGACCAGACCTACAGTGTGATCTTATTCAGTGTTTTGTACCAGAAGAAGCCTAAGCTGTTAATCTGAAATGAGGTATCCGACTTACGTCAGAACCGACTTAAAACAGAGTAGTGGGAACAGAACTTCATTGAAAGTCAGGGACTACTTGTTCTAAAAACAGGTTATTGCAAGTTGTCAAAAATAAGCAAAAAATGTAACAAAACAACTCACAACAAAAAAACAAAAATTATTCAATGTAAAAGCCCTAATCTCATATAGAATTTCTGAAGTTTTTATCAATTTAAGACATGTCATAGCATAGATTTTTCAGAATCAAAAGTCACAGCACAAGTATAATAGTTCACTTGACAAAGGATTTTTTTTTCTTTAGAGTTATCTAACAAAGATACTTACAAAGATTGACTCTCGGTAATGCCAAAGAATGCCAGATAATTCTTAAATTTGTTACTAAGAGTCTACCTAAAAACAAATAAACAAGCAAACAAACCAAAAAACAGGTTAGCTTCAGTAAGAACCCATTTTTGCAGTATACTATGAAGTGAACATAGACTGGATGTGTCCAGTTATCAGCAGCAACACCCAAGATGTTTTCATACATTTATTAATTGAAAATATTTATTGTGCATAAATGCTACATAAAGTATATAAAGTATGATTCATAATCTCAGAGAAACAAAATCTGAGGGTTACTAAAGGGATACAAGTATTCACTGCTAACAGCTTGGCGTGACTCAAACTGACAGAGAAAATTATATACTGATCGTTTGTCTCAGTAGAAGCTGGGTTCCAGGAAGTTCTATGTGTACAACCGAGAATATGTATAAGAGAAAAAAAAACCCATTGCTGTTGAGTCGATTCTGTCTCATAGCAAACCTACAGGATACAGTAGAACTGCCTTGCAGGGTTTCCAAGGAGTGCCTGGTGGATTCAAACTGCCAACCTTTTGGTTAGCAGCCGAACTCTTAACCACTACACCACCAGGGTTTGGGATACCATAATTACACAGCCATTCATTTAAATCACCTTTTTCAAAGAACTCTCACATACACACTCATCCCTGCCATGAGTGCTCTCTTAACAGTTTTCACTTAAGTGAGCCATATACTTAGACACCCAATTTTGCTATAAGCAAATTTTTCTTTTTTGCTCATATAAAGTTATGGCCAGGCTGAAGTCTATTTAAGGCTTTGTGCTTTTCATTCTTAGCATCAAAGTGATATTGATCTAACATTCTGTGTTTTTACATTAAAATACAAAGTTAGATAAACTATTTCTCAAAGGGCATCCCATGGAACAGTAGTCCCTATCAATGCCCCAAGGAAAAAAAAGCCAAATAAATCTGAGCGTGGTGAACTATGTGTTTTAGAGGTTTACAATACAATCAGTGTATTAAATGCTTTGAGAGATCCTGAAATAATAAAGCTTGCTTAACTTTTGAAGCATATATTAATACTGAATATACCACGGGCTGTCAGAAGAAAAAACAAATCTGTCTTGGAAGAAGTACAGCCAGAATACTCATTACAAGCAAGGATGGCGAGACTTCGTCTCACATACTTTGGACATGTTATCAGGAGTGACCAGTCCCTGGAGGACATCATGCTTGGTAAAGTACAGGGTCAGCAAAAAAGAGGAAGACCCTCAATGAGATGGACCATTGCTGCAACAATGGGCTCAAGCATAACAATGATTGCTGAGGACGGCATAGTACTGGGAAGTGTTTCGTTCTATGTAGGGTCGCTATGAGTTGGAACCGACTCAACAGCACCTAACAACAACTTTAACACACATTTCTCCAACTAATTATAATTATATAATTCTTTTGATGAGTAATCATAGATAGGCCATAAACATGCTCTCTTCCTTGAAAACCCTAAGAATGTCTAAAATCAGAGAAAGTAGGCCTGCATGAATCCTAGAGTGATATAGGATAGTAAAGGAGGTTCCAAAAATAAAGGAAGGCATTCTCCAGGAAGACTGTGGAAAATTACTGGATGTGTTTGAAGAATAATAAGTAGTCCAAAATGGCTGGAGGATAAGGTTCACACAATATCATAGAAGACTGGTCATGCATCTATCAGTCAGGGTTCAACAGAAAACAGATGACATACTCAAATCAGGACTTATTACAAAGGTATGGATGGTGTGTTGGGAATAGTAAGTGTCAGTGCAGCAGAAATGCCACCATCCCAGGACCAAAGTGACAAGGGGAAGGAGCAGTTACTGAATTATGGAAGGAGCAAGATTCCTACAGATCTGACCATTTTGAGAGGAAAAGCACAGCCGGCCTCTCTCTGGAGAGGACCAGGAGAATAAATACCCCGACCTCACTCTCCTGTCACCATCTCATCTTCTGACATGGCTCTCCTAAGAGGAAGCAAGAGGGCACCGGAGCCCTTACATGTAATCTATACAAGTCATCTTCTCAGGGTAAGGGGAAAAGGGTGCAGAAAGGTGCTGAACCTGGAGGGACAAATGGAAGACAGCAACACAGGCAAGAAAGGTTCTTTGTAGCCAAACTAGAAGTTCTTCAATTCTGGCCCAAGAAACATGGACTAAGATCTATTAGTAATAAGGGCAGTGAGGTGGGGGTGGGGGTTTAGAATTAGGATCAGAGAGGACTGAAAATTTTTGAGAAGGGAATAATGTGATCACTGCAGTTTAGGGAGCAATGTAGGCAGTTTGGTTCATTACTTACTAGCAATGTGACTTGGAAAAGTGAAGTAACCGCACTGTTCCTCAATTTCCACATTTGAAAAATAAAGATAATAATAGCATCTACTTCATATTTTTTGTTTTTATGATTAATATTAAATAAGATTATACATATAAAAGACTTAGAACAGTGATTGGCAAATAGTAAATACAGGCAGTCCCCAGCTTACAACGTATTCAAGATATGATGAACCGCACTTACGACTGTCTGTTATTGTGTTTTTTTTTTTGGTACATCTTATAGTTAGTAATATGTACTACATACAGTGTTGCAGCATGGAATTTGCTGATGTTATCATTCTCTCATGCCAACTCCCAAAGACACATAAAGACTGGATTTATAAAGATATTGATAATAAAAGCAATAATAATGAAAATTAAACAAAAAATGAGGTATCTAACTTACATCGGAATGAACTTACAACAAAGTCATCAGAATGGAACCCTATCATAAGTCAGGGACTACCTGTATTCAAAATACTAACTGCTATTATAATTTTTTAATATTTTAATTCTTTACAAACTTGTTTTTATAACTTATTTTTGTTATTGTAGATACATCAATTTATGTTTTACTTAGGTCATTTTGCCTAGGCAACATTAGTCTCTACAACTGGGCTATGAGCTCAGGACATCTATTGATTTATTTTATCTATTAAAGGATCTCAAAAAAATTACAGTAGGAAAAGTCTGTCTTATAAAACCATCTACCAAGTCTACCTCTTCTTCTGCTCTTGGTACATCTGTAAGTCTCTGGGATTCTTATGCTGCCTTTTTCTGCTGAAGGACCCTTCCTACAGTTCCAAACCTAGTGTTCTTTTCTTTCTGTTCTACCAAAACACCAACATATAGCTATCCCTGTTTCATTCAGGGCTTCAGTGCACGAAGCTAATCTGATAATTTCATGTCAGGGTAGATTAAATATGCTAATCTTCTGGAGTATTTATAGTTTTAACACAGGGTTTCCTGAACTGGCAATGCTTTAACTTGGTCATTTTCAAACTGCCGGAAGGGAGGAGAGAGAAATGGCTAGAAGGCAGGATTCTTCTTCCCTTTCCCATCTCATCAGCCAGAAACTCTACAACCTCCTGTAAAATTTCATTTGAACAAAGGTTTCTGTGGTGTATGCACACATGCAGAATTATTTTTATTAGGAAGACTTTAGGCACTGTAGTGGAGATTTCTGGCCAAGGAGGCTTTTTGTCCTCCCTATCCCAAAGTACGGAGCCCTGGTGTCTCAGTGGTTAAGAGCTCAGCTGCTAACCAAAAGGTCAGCAGTTCAAATCCACCAGTCACTCCTTGGAAACCCTACGGGGCAGTTTTACTCTATCCTTCAGGGTGGCTATAAATCGGTATCGACTTGACAGCAACGGGTTTGGTTTTGGTTTTTCACCCCAAAGTCCAACTATAGAATTTGGCACTCAATGCATATTTGATAATCAAAAAATGTTATATTACCTATAGTTTTTATTTGGACTGGTGGGTGGACTGTTACATAAGAGTTCTTACCAATTATGAGACCCACCAACCTTGCCCTTGGCTTCCTCAAGTTAACCAAAGTTTCGTCAAGAGTAGGGCCATCAGAAATACCTCATGCCTCTTGCAAACAGGGCTCCTGGGGTTTTAACAGTTACACTTGATACAGGTGATGTCAGAATCAGCACTTACTGAAAGACCAAAGTTCTGAGGGAGAACCTGTGTCCCCTGGCTACAGGTTTAATACCTATCTTTTTTTTCTGTTTAGGCCTGAGAAAAGTCTTATGTGGATTTAAGACTCACAATTATATTTTCATGTGATGCTGTTTCATATCTTATTCTCCAACTAACATGATTTAACATTTGTAAAATAAGCCAGGAATATAAAATACATTAAAAAATGTACTTACCTCTATCCCCATTATTTCCTTTGGTATCTTCAATTGAATCTAAACAATCAATAAGGACTTCTCCAGGTCTTGTTTTCATTTGTCTAAAATAAATATAAAGGCTTTAATTTTACAGCTACAACTATACCTGCTTACAACCTAGTTAGGGAGAGAAGAGACATATGCATATAGACCAGCCAACAGTATAAATGGTACCATAACAAATGAGTGAGCGTTTGAAAATAAGGTCTTCAAGAACTTCAAGAAGCTAGAGATCAGCAAGGCCTAGGGTGACCAGGGCCACGTGGAGTAATCCAAAACTTGAAGAAGGGGTTGGATTTAGAGAAATAAAATGGAGAGAGAGGAGAGTCCATGATTAAACACCAGGAGTAAGAAATTATAAGAGCCTGTAGAAAGACTGGCCTGGCTGGGGAAGAAGATCTATACTGAGAAATAGTGAGAAATATGATTGGATAAGTAAAGAGGGACTAGATTGTGGAGAACCTTGGAAGGCAGCTATGCTCACCACTATACCGCCAAAGCTAGATTGTGGAGAACCTTGAATGCCAGTCTGATAGGTCTGGGCCTTATCCTGTGGGCAATGAAGAACCCCTAGAGGTTTCTGAGTTGAGGAAAGGAGATCAGGCAGTTAAAGAAGAAACAGGTTAAAGAACAGATACACTCAAACCATCATTAGGACTCAGTAAACAATTACATATAAGAGACAAAAGGAAATGAAGAATGAAGAATAGCTTGCTGACTGATACAATGCATTCTAGAGGGTCAAAAACAACTAGCAAGAGTATCTGGTAAAAACTTCTAACACCTCTCTACACGGCCAACTCAATTATCTATTACAATACAGATATGATCATATCACTTCCCTGCTTAAAAAGCCTTCCATGTCATCCTACTGCCTTGGTAATGGCCAAAATCCTCAGCACAGCATTTCACAATCTGGCCAATCTACCTTTCCATTTGTATCTCCATCCTCTCCCTGTCACACATCCTGCTTTCTAGTCAATGAGGTTTATACCTCCAAGACTCTGCTTCTAATGAGGAGTCTCCCCCTCCCTAACTCCCCAAAAATACTCTCCTCTTGTCTACCCTGACAAGGCCCTGCTCATCATTCAAGGCCCAACTCAAATATTATTTCTTCTGTGAGGTCTTCCCCAGGCAGAATTAAAGGCTCTGTCTTCTATGGTCCCCAGTTTTTGTTCATGTTTTCAGGATGGTATTTACCACATTATAGTTAGTCGTCCGTATATGTCTCCTACACTAGATTAGGTATGAGTATAGGTGTGTGTGTGTGTGTGTGTGTCTGTGTGTGTGTGTTATTTCCCATAATTTTTGTACCCCTAGCTATCCGCACAGTGACCAGCACACGGTAAGCATTTGATAAATGTTTTAATAAACTGAAACACGACGGGCCTTGTCTGGATTAAGAACCCTCAAGAATGACAGAAAAAGTCATAGAATGTGTGCAATATGTAACTGCAGTTTATAATTTTACAAATTCTCTTTCTTCACAACTTCTTAGAGGATCTAACACCGTGTTAGTGCTAGTTCTCCAGCTGCAACGAAGCCTGGGAAATGCATCAATATTTCATTTTTCCGTCTAAGAAGGTGCTGTTCATGATAGGGAACCATAAGAAGTGGCTAAAGAAGCTCCATGTCATTAACCCGAGAACTTTAGCTTTGCTGTTATTTCCCAACACTTAAGATCCTAAACAGGGAAAAAATTTTTTTCTTTTCCTTTTTCTGAATCATTTGAACAGAAGCTTCTCACCATCCCCTCTTTAAGGTAAAGTGAAAAAAAGGTATTTTGCATAAACAGGGTGTCTGTTTGAGAGGCTCCAAAAGGGGGCTCCTTCTTCCTATTGGTGATTCAGATGAATAACTAGGTAAAAACTTACGTGGGCATAAAGTTTCAGTGTTTAGAAATTTTGGAGAATGCTTGCTCCCACATCCTTCACTTTACAGCTAAGACTCAAGCTTGGAAGGGCGAAGTCATCTGTCCAAGGGCCCACTATTTGTCATTATTCCAGACCTAGTTTTAGAATCCTGGTGTCCTGAGTCCCTGTCCTATGTTCCTTCCACCACGCAAAACTGGCGCCTCAAGCCTTGGCTTGCCCCGGGTCGTGTTTGGGTAGCTTCCCAGGACGAGGCCGGGACTGCGCTGGACCGAAACTCGATCATCTAGACGTCCTGCTGTGCCGCCTGTCTCCGGAGGGCCGCAGTTCCCCGGCCAATCTGCGTACTCACGAGGCAAAGACACCCTTGGCAAACCCCCTCCCACCCTCGCGAGGGCCGCGAGCAGCGGGGGCGCAGGCCCGGCCGGTGGGTCCCTAGTGCGCGGCGCGGCGCCCTCTGCAGGCTACAGGCCCCTGGGGAATCTTGGCGACTCACTGTGAGGACACGTCGAAGCGGACGTCCCGGTCCTCCCAAAGTGCGTCCAACACCGACATGATGATTGTGGCCCGCGGCCGGCGTTCTCCACAGCTGGGAGGCCGAACCGCGTCTCGCCGGCTCCAAGGCAACAGGCTGCCTCTGTCACGACATCTACGGCGGGCGCGGAGACCCAAGCTTCCTCGGGTATCGTGCGGGCTTTCACGCTAGTGGCCTTGCACTTTCTCCTAACTAAGCCGATTTGAGACGTGAGGCTCGAGTCGCGGATAGAAGGCGAACTGGCTCTGGCCGAGAGGCATGTGCATGACTTCCGGGCGACCTTCTTTGCCTCCAGACAGACATCCTTAAGCCATTCCACGCCCTTCCCCATTTCTCCGCACTATCAAAAAATTTGTACTTAAAACTCCAAGTTCCTTAGCTGTTCTAGTAGGCCCCTCCTGATCTGGTCCTACAAACCTCTCTTACCTCACGCCGCCCTTCCTTCTCACTACACTCCAGCCAGGCAGAGCTCAGGGTCTTTGGAAGGTCCCTTTTTTTCCGTCTGGAACGCTGTTTCACAGATCTCTGCTTGAAGCGCTCCTTGTCATTCAGGTCTCAGTTCAAATGTCAACTCTGGCCTTCCCTGATCTTTCTATCCCTCTACTGTGAGCTCCCTGAGGACAGGGACCTGACTTATCTGGTTCATCGCTTTTAACGGTGCCCCTGCACGTAGCAGGCACTCAATAAATCTTAGCTGACTGGAGTGAGATTCTCCTGCTTGCCTTAAAGAAGCCAGCTTCTATGACAGGGCCCTTAGGACCAGAGGCCTCAGTTCCATAGGTGCAAGGAACTGAATTACGTCAACCTGAATGAGCTCGGAACACATCCTTCCCAAGTAAAACTTCTGAGGGGCCTCAGACTCAGCCAACATTTGTACCGCAGCCTGCTGAGACCCTGTAGCAGGTAAGCCATGCCTGGACTTCTGATCTACAGAAACAGGGAGATAGTAAGTGTCTGTAGTTTCAAGCAGCTATATTAGTTTCCTAGAGCTTTCGAAATGAATTACCACAAACTGGATGACTTAAAATAACAAATTTATTCTCTCACAGTTCTGGAGGCTAGAAGTCTGAAATCAAGATGCTGGCAGGATCTTGCTCCTTCTGAAGGCTTTAGCAAAGAATCCTTCCTTGCTTCTTCTATCTTCTGGTTACTGACAATTCTTGGTGCTCCTTGGCTTGTAGATGCTTCACTCCAGTCTCTATCTCTGTCTTCAAGTTGTCTTCTCCCCTGTGTGTCTGTGTCTAAATTTCCCTCTTCTTATAATGACACCAAACATACTGGATTTAGGACCCACCCTAATCCAGTATGACCTCATCTCAATTTGATTATATCTGCAAAAACCCTATTTCCCAATAAGGTCATATTCCTAGGTTCTGGGTGGACATGAATTTTAGGGGACGTTATTCAGGGTAGCTGCTAAGTTTGTGGTAATTTATTATGCAGTAATAGAAAATGAATACAGATTTTGGTATCGGGAGTGGGGTTCCTCTGTAACAAATACCTATAATGTGGGAGCATCTTTGGAACTGGACAGGGGGTAGAGGCTGTCGCATCTCACAAAATTCTACTGTCAGAAAGCAGGCTGATCAAACTATCCAGCTGCAAAATGTGTGCTACCTTTTATTAAAAAGCAAGGATGACTCAGAGGGCAGAAACAAAAGCCTGAAAGCAGAGCTGAGAGCCACAGAATGTTATTCCTAGACCTTGAAACCTAATCAATAAAAACAACATTTGCCCAAATGGCTTTCAGAATTGTTGTATACCAGTGACTCATTTTTACCTTCCATTTCTCCCTTTTTGAACTGGAATGTTTATAATTGATATCCTATGCCTGACTCACCATTGTAGTTTGGGCTGCTGTACGTTTGGATATACCTGTTACCATAAAGTCGATTCCAACTCATAATGCTCCTATAGGACAGAGTAGGACTGCCCCACAGGGTTTCCAAAGCTGTAATCTTTATGGGAGCAGCCTGCCACATCTTTCTCCCACGGGGCTGCTGGTGAGTTCGAACTGCCAACATTTCATTTAGCAGCCAAACACTTTAACCACTATGCCACCAGGGCTCCTTAGTTTTGGATATAGGAATGGTGGTACCACTGGCAATGAGGTCCTTCGCAGAGGGAATGGCCTGTTCTGTCCTAGTTGCAAAGTGGGCCAGATGGGGAGGGGGAGAACTGAGCGCAAACACTGAGAGCTTCCTGGTTGCAAAGTTGCAGTGGGGGAGTGGGGGCGGAGAGGAGTCAATATCATTCTGCTCAGCCTAGCTGGTACTGGATCAAAAGGTTATTCAGTCCTTCTTAAGCATTTCAAATCCATGACTATGGTGAAATGAGTTCCTTTATGTAACCTTTTACCTTGGTTCTTTGGAAAAACAGCTTGAGAGATTTTTTTCCCTAAAGCCTGAGGAGTTACCTTTTCCCTAGTTTTCTATCCCAGAGGGTTTATTACTTTTTGTTCAGGTTGATTGACACTTCCTGGGTAAGCTGTAAACAATGATTTGATACTTTTTGTCTGGCCCTGGATTGCAGCCTACCCTGTGATTGGTATATTTTACGCACCTTGCAGGGATTGGTCAATGTACTTATGCAAATGAAGTGACTATAACCTACTATGCAAATGATGTGACTGTGGCCCACTGCAAGAGTATTGGTCATTTCATGGCCATGGTGGGAGGGCCATGCCTTAAACTTGACCTCAAGTTTGCTTATAAACGTAGCCAACCCCACAGAGGTTTGTAGACAGAAAGAGAAGGAAGAAGGAAGCAGAAAGGATAAAAGGCAAGAGAGGCAAGAAGAGAGAAGAAGCAGAGAGAGAGGAGGAAAGGAACCTCCTAAAAGAGATGTAACATGAGTCAAGGGCTGTAACACTGAAGACAGCAAGAGACCCAGAAGGAGTCCTGTGGCAGAGTTTGTGGTGATGGAGGAACTTGCTGCTAGGAATGCAGCTAAGATAGCTTAACAAAACTGCTACACTGGCTATGAGCTGGGTCAGTTAGCAGTGGAGAGGCTAATGGCATGGAGGCCGAAGCCAGAGAGTCCTGTCCTGAGATGGCCAAGAAGGGGTGTGCATGGCAGAGAGAAGGGTCTGCTTGCTTGCATGGCCAAGAGGAGCTGAGAGAGCTATCCTGTACTGAAAAAGGGAAGGATGTGCTTTCCAGTTTGGGGGAGGCTTCCAGACTTTGCCTACATGCTTTCTGATCCTGATCCTGAGTTGTATTGTAGCCTGTTGATCCTAATCCCAAGTTATACACTGTTACGTCCTTAATAAACCACTTAACTATATAAGTATGGTCTGTGAGTTTAGTGTGGCCATTGGAATGGATTATCGAACCCAGAAGAGAAGTAGAGAGTGCTGTGGGAGGGTTGGCTGGTGTCAAAATTGGTAAAAAGATTGGAGAGAGGAGGTATGTCTGACCTCCACCTCATAGGAATCAGCCTTGGGCTAATGATAATTCCATTATCCCCCCTGAAGTTAGGTGAGTTCTAACACTACTACTACTACTATTTTACAATGATCTCACAATAAAAACCTTTGCAACCATGTAAAGTGAACAAAATTGAAAAAATTAAACTTATACATAGGATGAATCTTAATTTATCTTACATATTCTTTAGTTCCTCATGGGTTCCAGCTTATCCTCAAAGGTTCCATCTTGTCTAGCTTCCCCACTTCCCACCCATCTTCCTTCCTGACTAGCCACCCTAAGTTCTTCAGATACTAGCACTCACCACACACATGAACAACAGCTTCACATAAAATGTGTAAACAGCTCCTACAAATAAGTAAGACCAAATTCTTATACTAAAAGCCCTCATTATACATTTTTTTCCTATTGTTTTTGCTTTTTTGATTGGACTCTGAGTGGTAAAAATTCCAATTTAAAATGTGTAATTAATTAATTTTAGATTGATGATGTTAAAAATAACAGCTTTGACACACAAACCACAAAATTTACCCTTTTGAAGTATACAATTCGGTGGTTTTTAGTATGTTCCCAGAGTTGTACAACCATTACCACTATTTAATTTTAGAATATTTTTATCCTTATTCTTCTTCAAAATTGACTTAACCATTTTGTCTTTTTATTCTTCCATCTGAATTTTAGCATAGTTAATGCAAATACATTGAATTTATGGATTAATTTAGACAGAATTGAGTTAATTGTTTACTTAATTGTCTATCTTCACCTATGAAACTTAGTTTTCTGAAGGTAGGAATGCGCCCACCTTTTACAATTATACCCCCGGTGTCTAGCACAGTGCCTGAAGCCTAGTGGGAGAGCAATAAATATTTGTTGAATGAGTAAATAAATGAATGAGTTATGTGAGCCTCATGAAGAAAGAACTCAAACGACAATTGGAAGATATGTGTAAAAAATTTTATTACTTCCCAGACAGCACACACTACAGGGGAAGCCAGCACAACTGGACTAAACCAAAGCTAAGAAGTTTCCTGAATACAATCAAACAGTTTGAGAGACAGAGTAGCAGGGATGTGGGGTCTGGGGACCATGCTTTCAGGGGACATCTATGTCAATTGGCATAACAAACCTTATTAAGAAAATGTTCTGCATCCTACTTTGGTGAGTGGCGTCTGGGGTCTTAAGCGGCCATCTAAGATGCATCAATTGGTCCCAACCACTTGGAGTAAAGGAGAACGAAGAACACCAAAGACACAAGGAAAGTATTAGCCCAAGAGACAGAATGGGCCACATAAACCAGAGACTTCATCAGCCTGAGACCAGAAGAACTAGATGGTGCCCGGCTACCACCAATGAACATCCTGACAGGGAACACAGCAGAGGGTCCCTGATGGAGCAGTAGAAAGATGGGATGCAGAACTCAAATACTAGTAAGAAGACCAGACTTAATGGTCTGACTAAGACTGGAGGCGTCCCGGAAAGCATGGCCCCTAGTCTCTCCATCACCCCAGAACTAAAACAATTTCCGAGGCCAACTCTTCAAATAGGGATTGGACAGGACTGTGGGACATAAAGTGATACTCGTGAAGAATGTGCCTCTTAGACAAGTAGATATAAGAGAGCAAAGGGACGGCTTCTGTCCAGAGGTTAGAGGGGAAGGCAGAGAGAGTTAGGAGCTGGTTGAATGTTCATGGGGAATCAGGGGCAGAGGGGAAGAGTGTGCTGTCGCAGAATGGGGTGAGCGGTTGGTGTCTCATAACAATGTATGTTAAAAAAAAAAATTCTGTATGGGAGACTAACTTGAAATGTAAACTTCATTTAATTACATCAATTAAAAAACATTTTTATTACTTCCCAAATTCTGCTATAGTTTTGGTTTTAGCAATACCTTGCCCGACCGCAAGAT